GATATTACCCACGACCCGCATTATAAGCTAAAGCAATTACCTGCCTACATAGCCGTAATGATTTTATTTTAATTTTATTAAATAATATATAGCAATGATTCAAATGTTTACTTTATAAGTATTTAAGTATCGATTTTTGTTCTTCGATAAATGACACTGGCCTAAAATAGTGATTTCTGACGAAATGTGGTTGAGAGGGCTATTAAGTACAACTTACAATGTATAAACCATGAAATCATATAGTATTAAACGGACGAAGTCGCGGGGAACAGCTAGTAAATAATATAAATATAGGATCGGTAAACTGAAGTGAATATGGGCTGGCCGTATAGCTCGAAAAACTTACAACTGATATGGAAGAAAATTTATCTAGTAGCAAGGCCCGATATTGGATAGAATGATGATCTGGTAAGAGATGCTGGAAGTCAATGGATGCAGGTGGCTCAGAACTGTGCTGGCATTTCTGGGGAGAAGGTCTATGTTCAGCAGTGGATTTGTGGAGGGCTGTAATGATGAGAATGACGAAATATCTGAATACCAGAATCGGAACACTCAATATATTATTTTCATCATCATCATCATCATTACAGCCCTTCACAAGTCCACTGCTGAACATAGGCCTCCCCCAAAGAATGCCACAAAGCACGGTCCTGAGCCACCTGCATCCATCGACTTCCTGCATGTCTTACCAGGTCGTCACTCCATCTCGTGGGGGGACGCCCTACACTTCGCCTACCGGTACGAGGCTGCCACTCGAGAACCTTTCTTCCCCATCGGTTGTCGGTTCTTCGAGCTATATGGCCGGCCCACTGCCACTTCAGCTTACTAATCCGTTGGACTATGTCGGTTACTCTGGTTCTACTGCGGATATCCTCATTCCTAAGTTTATCACGCAGAGAAACTCCGAGCATAGCCCTCTCCATAGCTCGCTGAGCGACCTTGAGCTTCCTCATACGGCCAGCAGTGAAGGACCACGTCTCAGTTCCGTAAGTCATCACTGGCAACACGCACTGGTTGTCCAATTTCGTTTTCAGGTTTTGAGGTATGTCTGACGAGAAGATGTGTCGTAGCTTCCCGAACGCTGCCCAGCCGAGTTGAATCCGTCGATTGACCTCTCGGTCGAAGTTGGACTTACCTAGTCGGACTATTTGTCCCAGGTAAACATACTCGTCAACAACTTCGAGCTTAGTGCTCCCAAGAACTACCGGCATAGGTGTGACATGGACATTGAACATGATCTTTGTTTTATCCATGTTCATCTTAAGACCTATCCGTTGGGAAACACTATCGAGGTCATTGAGCATAGTGCTTAGGTCCTCCAGCGATTCTGCCATAAGGACTATATCGTCGGCAAATCGAAGGTGAGTGATGTACTCGCCATTGATGTTGATACCGTATCCTTTCCAGTCCAGAAGCTTGAAAACGTCTTCCAATACAGCGGTGAAGAGTTTCGGGGATATGACGTCACCCTGTCTTACACCTCTCTGCAATTGGATAGGTTTCGTACTCTGGTTCTGTACTCGGATAGCCATCGTAGCCCTACTGTACAAGCACTTCAACACTTCGATATACCGACAGTCAACTTGGCACCGCTGAAGGGACTGCAGCACCGCCCAAATTTCGACGGAATCAAAGGCTTTCTCATAGTCCACATACGCCAGACATAGTGGCAAATTGTACTCTTCGGACTTCTGTACAACTTGCCGAAGGGTATGTATGTGGTCTATGGTGCTAAAGCCCTTTCGGAAACCGGCTTGTTCGGGAGGCTGGAAGTCGTCAAGTCTGCGAGCGAGACGATTCGTAATGACTCTCGAAAACAGCACGTAGACGCGGCTCAGAAGGGAAATCGGTCTGTAGTTCTTCAAGAGAGCGTTGTCACCTTTCTTGAAGAACAAGACCACCGCACTTCTGCTCCACGCCTCCGGTGTAATGCCACCATGGAGGACGGAATTAAAGAGCTTCTGAAGGACTTCAAGTACCGGTCTTCCACCCGCTTTCAGAAGCTCCGCTGTAATTCCATCCTCGCCTGGGGCCTTACCGTTTTTAAGGTGCTGGAGAGCCATTCTAATCTCGCTCAGACTGACGTCCGGGATATCTTCGGAATAGTGTCGGATGAGACACGCTCTTGGATCGTTACTCACCCTTGCGTGTGGCTCCAACGATGACGTGTACAGCTGCCCATAGAACCTCTCAATCTCACTCAAAATCTCAGGTGTCCCGGAAACGATGCTGCCACATCCTGTCTTCAGCTTTGACAGGTGGCTCTTTCTGGCAGACAGATCTCTGGCAAAGACTTTGGAGCCTTGGTTCCGCTCGATCGCTTCTTCAATACGAGCTGTATTGAAGTTGCGTAAGTCCCGCCGCATGCATTTGGAGATCTGTCTGTTCAGATGCCTGTATGCTGTCAAGTCTGTTGAAGAATGTAGCTTCATCTCCCGTCTAACACCCATGAGATTAAGAGTGTGATCGGAGAGTTTTTGTGTTCTTCTGCGGCTGGTCTTGCAGATCTTAGTTCCGACCGCATGGACAGTTTCCACGAGCTTGTCATTCATATCGTCCACTTCATCGCAGTCTTCTAGGCACTGAAAACGGTTTTGTAACTCGAGCTGAAAGGTTTCGGGACTCTGGAACAGAGCACGAGGGGGACGGAGCGTTGACTTCATTAGACGAGACCTCTCCCACTTATCGTTTAGGTTCAGTGTGCCTCTAACCATTCGGTGATCGCTACCAGTTTTCACCCTCGTAATCACGGTGACATCACTGAACAGTTGTCGTCTGGTCGTCATAATGAAGTCAATCTCATTTTTTGTCGAACCGTCGGGGCTCGACCAGGTCCACTTCCTGTGGGGCCGCTTCTGGAAGAAAGAGTTCATCATAAAGAGTCCCTCTTTCTCCATGAAGTCGGCCAGCTGCTGGCCCCTTGGGTTCCGTTGCCCTATTCCAAATTTCCCTACTTTCAGCTCACCGTTCTCTCTTGTGCCTAGTTTTGCATTGAAGTCTCCCATTAACACCGTATATTGGGTTTTGGAGGAACGCATGGCTCTAGAGATATCCTCATACATTTCCTCCACCTCCCCATCGGGGTGTGCCGAGGTTGGTGCGTAAACCTGTATGACCTTCAGCGAATACCGTTTGGTGATTCTGAGTATAAGGTACGCAACCCTCGTCGACACACTCCCGATCTTTACAACGTTGTTAACGAGAGACTTGTGGACGATAAATCCGACACCTCCTTGGGACAGATGGTCGCCCTCCCGGTGATAGAGCAAGTTGCCGGATTCGAGGATTACCGTGTCCTCCCCCTCTCTTCGGACTTCGGATAATCCTATAATATGCCAGCGCAACTTGTCTATCTCTTCTTCCAGCTCCACGATCTTCTCGTCAGTCCTCAGGGTGCGTGCGTTGTACGTTGCCAGGTCGAGTCGTCTAAGGTGGCAACCGAACCTCCACCGGAGATTCTTAGCACCCCCTGCCCCGCCGTTACCATGGTCGCCACCGTAGCCAGGAATAGCGGGGCCGCCGGGGACTGGGGGCCGTCTCTTTGTTACATTCATAGGGGGGTATTTGCCATAGTTGCCACGCTTGGCGAGCGGGTTGGCAACCGCAGTTTTTTTATTGTAATTTTGGCTATTATCAGGAAGATGCTGCTGCCCATCTCCTGCCTGTTTCCCTTTGTCGCCTTTTACGACACCCACGGGAGGATATGGGGTAGTGGTATTCTTGACCGCCACTACACGGCTTATTATTTTGTATAAATTTAATTATATTAAAAAGTTCTCCAGATCGAATTACGATCATCGTCTTTCCATATTCACAGGAGAGTATAATAGTGCACGAGTGTGTGCGCAAGCACTGGTGCACTATTTATTTCCCCACTCTCATAGTGCAATGAGCTGGTAATTCGGCACGACCCGAGATATCAGGCGCAGAACCTTCGAAATTACGTGCTTTCCGAGGCATGGGGCTGAAACACCGCTAACTTCCTTGACCCGTGTTGCTCGACCCGAGACCTCGTCGACCTAATAGAGGTAGTCAATAATACATTTTGTTGGTTAAAGACAAAAACAGTTTTTGTGACGGGGATGCAAATCTTATATCAAGAACGGTTTCTGAAACGTAATACGCAAAACCGATATTATTTGCATCACAGTATATTCACGCTTGTTTAAAATTAAAACTTTATCAAGGTGCTTTGTTTTTTTTTTTTTGCAATTTGCCTTCACGCGTTGTACTTCTAAGTTAAATTTACACTAATTAGTCGTGGCTGGTTTTCAAAAAAACAATTCATTACTAAGCAAAGGGGAAAAGTGCGTTTACACAGTGCGTTCATTAAAAAAAAATCACTACGCCTATTTTTTATGCATTCCGTTTGTGTGGAGGTTGGAATTTTGTTGACAATTACATCAAAGATTAAATGATGACTGGCACTGCAAGTCGTTAAAATATTTAAAATAGCAATTAGTTTAAATTTGACATAATATTACGGTTGCATTATTAGAGAATCTATTAACATAATTCCTCCCATGTGTAAGAATTTAATTTAATTTTGGAGTTAGGTGTGACATCATGTGTTTTCACAATGAAAATTATAGACAAGAAATGGTTTTTGATTCACTTTTTGTGACCGAATTTAGTCTACTTCTAGATGCCACAATCTACTCGAAGTTTCGTAATGCATATTTTTGTTATTTTTATGTATACATATACTAACTGATACACGGCGCGTTACGCGGCGTAAGTTAGTTTTACTGTGCCCATAATCTTCGCGCATGAGCAGGCAATAAGTTAACAAAGTTTTACCGCAATTTGATAAACGATATGGCAGAGATTTGACAGAGATAGTGGTTCTTTAATCGACTCCGAGAATCAGTGTAAATGTAATGAATTCTTATTTTTCTTTTTTTTTATTTTCTGTTATTAAGTAAGCTTTTTGGTGTTTTTTTTTAACTCAGCAAACCTTGTATTTGATCTTACAGAGTGATTTTAAAAATTTTACTCACCTATTGGTTTTCAATGCTGACGATTTATTTATCCACACTGCTTCATAGTTACCGACGGCTGAACTTTGCTGTTCGAGTTGCACTTGAGATGTACACGCTGACAGGAATTTGTCAATTATTTTTGAAGAGCAGACAGACTAAATTGCTCACATTCTGTACGTCACACGCTCTAGGCTAGCAAAGCAATGTTAAAATCGAACGCGATACGTAAAACTTACGAGTATGATGAATATGATGATGAAACGAAGTGCAATTAGTTGAATAGAATATACATTTGTGCATACATTTCAGTATTGAATACGAACGAAGTTCAGAACAGTGTCGCGGGTAAATTGTACAACATACGTCACATGTTCGTCAATAGAGACACCGTTCGGATCTATAAACACCGTGCTCGAGTAATAAAGGCTTGTACACACACTACCCTTTACTGTGAATGTAAACTGCGTGCACATTGAAATTTATCATTCATTTCCGAAGCACATGTACGGAATCGTGTATAAATTAATCTTTTAGTCCGCTTGTCAAAGCGAGCCTTTCACAGATGTAGCGCATTGACGCGTGCGGCGATGCGGTGTGTTAATTAATTTTATCTTTGAGGTTATTAACTATTATAATCCATGGTTACTAGTTTTAGGGCCGTGGTAGCGCAGGGGTAAGCGCTCGCTGTAAATTTCACAGTAAGCAACCCTTACTGTGAAACGTGAAACGCTTACTTTGTACGTGGTAGAGCCAAGCTGCAGCTATATTAGTAGTATAGTTGTAGTACGAATGGGTCGGCTCGACCGGGGAAGGACCACGCTCTCACAGAATACCAGCGTCAAATAGTAGCTAAACACTGCTGTGTTTCGTATGGTGAGTGTAGAGAACCGGAGACCGTTTTTACTGGAAAAGAGGCATTCCATTTTAGTCCTCACGGGTGACAACGCATCTGCATTTTGATTCGCAAACGAGGATAAATTTAGATGTCTATGGGCCACAGCAGCCACTTACCATCAGGTTGACTATGTGCTCCTTTGTCACCCTGTCCTATAAAAAAAAACCCGGGTTCGATCCCCGCCGGCACCAATAAAATTGTTAATTGATATTTTAAATGCTGATTTACTACGTGCTCGGCGATGAAGGAAAACATCGTAAGGGAATCTGTATATCTGAGGAATAATAAAAAAAAAATATTTCGAACACTTGTGAAGTTGGTCAACACGCATTGGGGCAGCGCGGCGGACATTTCTTTGCCCTAAAACAATCTCAGAAAACAGAGGAGGCCTGTACCCAGCAGTGGGATGTATATAGACTGTAACTTTAACTTTAATAGTTCACGTTTTTCATTAGCCTCAATATTTTTACTATAGATAAATATTTAAATGTATTTGTACCAAAGGAAGTAAGACTACACTTTGAATCGATTCACATTCGATATTGTTTTAAAGTAAAATACTAGCAAAGCTACTAACAAGACTCCTCTGGTAAGCTTAAAATGCCTGTGTTGTTTACGACAGTAGTCGAATAGCGGATTCGAACCCACGACCTTTGACCGAAGTATTTAATACTACTAATAATTAATATTTGTAACTTAAACTCAGAGGGTGATATTGATTTTACTAGCAATGCTATTAACAATAATAATATTACCTTTTAACACTCCTGGTAAGCATAAAATTCTTGTGTTAGGAGTGGTTTACGACAATAGTCGAAAGGCGGACTCGAACCAACGACCTTTGAGTTCGCGGTTCGCACGCTACCATTAGGCTACTGTCGCTTAAGGATATGTTAAGCAAACGAATTGCTAAATTTAAACGTCTTATGTATGAGAAGATTAATGACATAAATTGAAGGATGCTGTTTTGTTTATTGTAAAGACTATATTAAAATAATTCAATATGAAACAGTATTAATAAAGTCAGTTAATTTTTTTCACAAATATTTCATTTAAATTTACTATAAATATATTCTCGGCACTATATTTTATATTTTTGTTTGTTGCAAAAAAAATAGATAAAAAATAAAACGGGGGAGACAGAGACAGAGACAACGGACTTTCAATGACACGGTCCTGATACACCTCACTCGCCTCCTTCACTATTATATACCTTATACATATGTACATACTTGTCGCTCAAGGGTATCTATGTTTAATTTGGCCCATCTTATATATCTCGTAAATTCCGACAGACGCTCCGACATACATATCGCCAATTTTATTTGTAAACTTCTGTTTCGGGAATTTATTTCTACCCCTCTACGTTTTTTGTATATGTTGTTCATTTTTTGTCTAATTATCACTTATTTTATTTTATAAACATGAAGACCGTGTAATGGTCACGTAATAGAATCCACTACGACATATTATCGTCCCTTGAGTGACGTAAGAGGCGATAAGGGAAAATGAAGCAGAATATGGGCAGCGGTGTTCTCTCGATAACAGCATAATAATAACTAGCGATCGCCCCGGCTTCGCACGGTTAATTTCTGGATCTCGACAACAGCGACACCTACCGGGTCCAACTATGAATTTAAACCAATTTCTAATTAACTTAATCACACACAAAATTTCATCAAAATCCGTCCATCCGTTTAGGAGGAGTTCAGTCACACACGCACGGATAAAAGGATTATCTTTATATATAAAAATTACGTGTCACATTGTTTGTCCGCGATGAACTCCTAAACTACTAAACTGATTGCAATGAAATTATGAATACTGTGTGCAGTTTGGTACAACTTGAGAGATAGGATAGTGTTTATCCCGATAAGTGACCATCAATTTTTTTATTGCTAATTTCAGGAGTTTGTTTTTAGTAAAGCAAATGGTCGTCGGAAAGGGCAGAACGACGTCTGCCTGGTCAGCTAGTATTATATATAATTTGCATGTATTATACATACAAAACTTTGAATTAAATTATTCTCACTACTTATGAAAACCAAATTAAAATCCATTGTATATTTTAAAAGATCTAAGCGTACAGACGGCGGGAAGTAACTTTGTTTTATACTATTTATAAAGATAAAACAGCGGTTGCTAACTCTCGTCCGCCACGCATCGCAAATAATATGACAATTTATGTTGCAATCTGTAAGAGAGGTCTATGTTCAGTAATGGACTTGTGATGGGATGTATTAAAAAAACAAATCTAAGTTTTTTTATTATCTAAATCCTCCTCAAGGACCCAAAATATAGGTAGCGACTGCATTGTTTGAAAAAAATGATTCTATTGAATAAAACTATTTTTTACGGATTTCATTGACTTTGGGTTGCTGTAAATCACCCAAAATATCTGGAATTCATCATTCATCATCATCATTACAGCCCTTCACAAGTCCACTGCTGAACATAGGCCTCCCCCAAAGAATGCCACAAAACACGGTCCTGAGCCACCTGCATCCATCGACTTCCTGCATGTCTTACCAGGTCGTCACTCCATCTCGTGGGGGGACGCCCTACACTTCGCCTACCGGTACGAGGCTGCCACTCGAGAACCTTTCTTCCCCATCGGTTGTCGGTTCTTCGAGCTATATGGCCGGCCCACTGCCACTTCAGCTTACTAATCCGTTGGGCTATGTCGGTCACTCCGGTTCTACTGCGGATATCCTCATTCCTAAGTTTATCACGCAGAGAAACTCCGAGCATAGCCCTCTCCATAGCTCGCTGAGCGACCTTGAGCTTCCTCATACGGCCAGCAGTGAAGGACCACGTCTCAGTTCCGTAAGTCATCACTGGCAACACGCACTGGTTGTACAATTTCGTTTTAAGGTTTTGAGGTATGTCTGACGAGAAGATGTGTCGTAGCTTCCCGAACGCTGCCCAGCCGAGTTGAATCCGTCGATTGACCTCTCGGTCGAAGTTGGACTTACCCAGTCGGACTATTTGTCCCAGGTAAACATACTCGTCAACAACTTCGAGCTTAGTGCTCCCAACAACTACCGGCATAGGTGTGACATGGACATTAAACATGATCTTTGTTTTGTCCATGTTCATCTTAAGACCTATCCGTTGGGAAACACTATTGAGGTCATTGAGCATAGTGCTTAGGTCCTCCAGCGATTCTGCCATAAGGACTATATCGTCGGCAAATCGAAGGTGAGTGATGTACTCGCCATTGATGTTGATACCGTATCCTTTCCAGTCCAGAAGCTTGAAAACGTCTTCCAATGCAGCGGTGAAGAGTTTCGGGGATATGACGTCACCCTGTCTTACACCTCTCTGCAATTGGATAGGTTTCGTACTCTGGTTCTGTACTCGGATAGCCATCGTAGCCCTACTGTACAAGCACTTCAACACTTCGATATACCGACAGTCAACTTGGCACCGCTGAAGGGACTGCAGCATCGCCCAAATTTCGACGGAATCAAAGGCTTTCTCATAGTCCACATACGCCAGACATAGTGGCAAATTGTACTCTTCGGACTTCTGTACAACTTGCCGAAGGATATGTATGTGGTGTATGGTGCTAAAGCCCTTTCGGAAGCCGGCTTGTTCGGGAGGCTGGAAGTCGTCAAGTCTGCGCGCGAGACGATTCGTAATGACTCTCGAAAACAGCACGTAGACGCGGCTCAGAAGGGAAATCGGTCTGTAGTTCTTCAAGAGAGCGTTGTCACCTTTCTTGAAGAACAAGACCAACGCACTTCTGCTCCACGCCTCCGGTGTAATGCCACCATGGAGGACGGAATTAAAGAGCTTCTGAAGGACTTCAAGTACCGGTCTTCCACCCGCTTTCAGAAGCTCCGCTGTAATTCCATCCTCGCCTGGGGCCTTACCGTTTTTAAGGTGCTGGAGAGCCATCCTAATCTCGCTCAGACTGACATCCGGGATATCTTCGGAATAGTGTCGGATGAGACTCGCTCTTGGATCGTTACTCACACTTGCGTGTGGCTCCAACGATGATGTGTACAGCTGCCCATAGAACCTCTCAATCTCACTCAAAATCTCAGGTGTCCCGGAAACGATGCTGCCACATTCTGTCTTCAGCTTTGACAGTTGGCTCTTTCTGGCAGACAGATCTCTGGCAAAGATTTTGGAGCCTTGGTTCCGCTCGATCGCTTCTTCAATACGAGCTGTATTGAAGTTGCGTAAGTCCCGCCGCATGCATTTGGAGATCTGTCTGTTCAGATGCCTGTATGCTGTCAAGTCTGTTGAAGAATGTAGCTTCATCTCCCGTCTAACAGCCATGAGATTAAGAGTGTGATCGGAGAGTTTTTGTGTTCTTCTGCGGCGGGTCTTGCAGAACTTAGCTCCGACCGCATGGACAGTT